TTCATCACTATGATGCTGTAACTCAGAGGTGATGAAGGTGACCCAGCGATGTCCAGTAGTCTCCAGTGAGAGTAGCAGCTGCTGCACGTTGTAACGCCGTCGCTTTAGTCATCCTCTCCTTTAATACAACTCGTGTGTTCTTCTGGCGACGGTGCGTCTTGAGGCTCATACGTGACGTCATTCGTTGAGATCATAAAGGTACGTTCACACCAAACGCGACGTGAAGTCAGACCGACATCTTCCACAACACTAACCTGCAGTTTGTCTCCACTTCTCTGTAGCATCTGGTAGCTTGTCTTGCTTTAGTTTATCTAAACTTCTACCACACGCTGCATCAACGTAGTCTGAAGACTTCCTCCACCGCTGCCAGTGAGCAACGCACTTTCAAAATGAATAAATGCGTTAATGCGCTATAAAATAATTGTTGGCGTTAATTAATCGCGTTAACGCGATAACGCGTTAATTTGCCCAGCACTAATAATAAGCATCATTTAGTATCACTACTGAGAATTTAACAAACATAAAAACATGACGTAGATAGGTTTGCAGTTTTCAAGAAGTATATTTAAATATCATCTCTTACACACATGAAGATAAAGTTGTGAACACCGGCTGAATATCTATGATCAGAATCATTATAACTGTGTTATAACTGCTGCTGTGTAAAGGGAATACTGCTGCTAACAAGAACCTGATGTGTTTAAAGTGTTTAAACCAAATGTTATTGACCTTTTGTTCATATAGCAGCACTTTAAAATAAAAGTGCACAATACACTACTTTATAATTCATTATTGTACTTTGTGCATAACAATGAGATTAATCATGTTAATCGTTGCCCAGCACTAGTTATAATGTAATAGAGCTATTGTATCGTTTATGTTTTTGTGAATTTAAATATTTACTTATTTTCTTTTCCTTGTCAGTAAACTTCCAAACTGAACTCAATCAGGTGACATTTGTAAATGTTGACTCTGTAGTGAAGGTTTTTGCTTCATCACAATCTGTTACCATCTCCATCAACCAATCACTGGAGATCAACGAGTCCGCCTCAATCCAACGTCCTCTTCAGTCCACAGCCGACAGCTGACGTGTTTAAGAACAACAGAGCTGTATACGTCAGATTAATCTGTTGATCGTGGAGGTCAAAGCAGATCAAGAGTAATATTCCGTGTTGTTTCCTGTCGGACCAATCAGTGGAATCGATCTGCCATCAAGTTATTAATGATTGTATTCAAACCTGCTTTTGGCTCGTTAGAGACATTCTGTTGTGATTTCAGACACTTAAAATAATGATTAACAAAGACAATAGAGACAGTTAAACAGTGTGTGTGTGTGTTCCTCACCCTGGCGGGGCCAACGCCCACAAACATCTCCAGGAACTCAGATCCGTTGACGGTAATAAACGGTACATTGGCCTCACCGGCCGTTGCTTTGGCCAAAAGAGTCTTTCCTGTTCCTGGAGGACCCGTCAGGATGGCTCCCTACACACATGATAAATCATCATTAACTTCTGAACCATCTCCTCAGAGGTCCCGGTCCCACCTTTGAGGTCCTGGTCCCAGCCTCACCTTAGAGGTCCAAACCAGCCTCGTCCCAACCTGGTCCCAGCCCTCATCTTGGGGATCTAGACCCCGCCCTCACCTTGGGGATTTTGGCGCCCAGGTCCTCGTACTGTTTGGGGTTCTTCAGGAAGTTGACGAACTCCATGATCTCCAGCTTGGCCTCCTCGCAGCCCGCCACGTCTTTGAACTTCACATCGATCTCGTCCTTCAGTATCTTCGCTGTCGTCTCGCTGACGCTGAACAACCCGCCCATCCCCCGGCCGGGACGCCCCGCCCCCGCCGGGCCCCGCCGCAGCATGAACAGCAGGAAGCCAATGATGAGCACCGTGGGGAGCATGCTCAGTAGGAAGGTGCTGAGGAGGAAGGAAACAGAGTGGAAACCTCCAACTAGGTATAAACCAGTGCTGTGTGGTGAATCCAACGTTCCTCACCCATCACTCTCGGTGGAATAAACCACCGGCAGTCTGTTCTCTCCCTCGATGCCGAGCTCGTACTGAGCCGTCTCCAGATTCCTCTCAAACGTGTCCACACTGCCAATGTTGAACCACACATACTGCTGAAAGAGACAAAGACAGCCTGAGCCTCCTGCTTCCTGCTTCATTCAGCAGCCAGTAGATGATTGGTTGGTCAGTTGGTGCATCAAGCCCTCCGTCTTTGATCATCTTATGGAAACTGACTGCATCCTTGAACCTCTGATGGAAGGTACCGATACTTTAAACATGAGTCTACTTCTGACTTCTTGAATCTTGTTATTGTCCGGTGAGGCTGAACGGGCTCGGACGTTAACTTCATGAATGTGTTTGGATTCTGATCGTTTAATACGACTCTGACTGTCAAACCGCTACATAAGGAAATGAGCCTGAGAGTAAGTCAAATAAAGAGACATTCAAAATAATAAGTAAAGTATTAACTCACCCCGTCCACCGGAGTCTTCCCCGGAGCGAAGAACACTTTAACGTACCGCTTGTTGACCACCTCTAACCGGTCAACCTGGTGAACAAAACAAACACCTGCTTTTATATATATATATATATATATATATATATTATATGTAGAAGCACCGTTACACAAGAATGTAGTTTTTAAAAAGATCTGAGTTATGGTGTCAAATTTAACAAGGTCCTATAAACAAGTTCTAAAATGTGTTCACGCAGCAGAATAACTCGGATTAACAAAAATCAGCAGAACGTCAGGTTAAAAGAAAATAAATTAACTGAGATTAACCAAAATCAATTCAGATTCAGAGGTCTGTAAACAAACTGGTTTATAGATTACCAATATCAAGAAATCTAACAAAGTCATATTCCTTCTATCAGGTTAACAGACTCAAATGTAGGTGAGCAGGTCAGAGAGGGACAATAGAGTGACTTTAAAGAGATCAGATGATTAATGGTGATTAAAGTGTCCTCGCCACTGCTTTGGACAGGTAGTTGTTGACAAAGTCCTTCCATGTGACCTCTCGTCCTCCGTCCCTGAAGAAGAAAAAATAGGTGACGGTGGTCCAGAACGCTGCTCCGCTCAGGAAGTACATCCGAAACTCTTTATCATCCCAGGGAACATCCCCCTGAAACAGACAAAACCTGACATGAGCTTCACACATGCAGGTGAGCACAGGTGAAGCCAGAGTCACACTGACCTTCTGCAGACGGCTGTACCAGTGGGACTCCTCCTTACGGCCTCCTCGTTTTCCATCTCCTCCTCCTCCACCACCACCTCCAGCTCCTCCTCCTCCACCTCCACCACCACCACCACCACCACCACCTCCTGATGTCTTCCCAGAAGATCTCTGAGCATTGGCCTCTGAGAAAAGACAAAGAAACAAACAATAATCCGTGGGTAGAAGGGGGTAGTCGTGGGTAGTCGTGGGTAGTCGCGCATAGACGTTGGGTAGACGTGGGCAGACATGCGTAGTCGTGCGTAGACGTGGGTAGTCGTGCGTAGATGTAGATTTCAGTGGTTTCTACCTTTGGTTGCTGCTTCGGCTTCACTGTTTTTTGGAGTTTTCTGACTTCCTGGAAAATATTTCTCAAAACCTGAAAAAAAAATAAAAATAAACATCACTGTGCTGAAAACAAACAAGTTTGTACTTCTATACTTGTGAGGATCCTCAGGACCTCAACCATCACAACTAAATGTTTAACTCTGAACTTGAGTCTAACTCTAAAACCGGGGTACTTCTCAAGTCTCTTAATTGCATCCCCGTTTCCCTCACTTCGCGTCCTTTCCTTGCATCTTAGTCCCTCCCACCAGGGATGCATGGAGGAAACCATGCGAGGAGAGAGGAAACGAGGAAATATGTTTTAGGCAGTGGCGGGCCGTGCATTTTATACCGAGGCCTTCAATGTTGTCCTGCAGCTGAAATACCACCTTATAACCACATGATAGCGCCACAGATATTATCAGTTTCTAAGGCTGTAACTATGTACGTATTAAATGTACGTACCGTTCGATACGGGACTTGCAATACGTTTGAATAGTACTAGAGCATTTTGAAAATGCAGAAGCTTATATTCAGGAAAATATAATGTTTTCTGCACTCATGGAGGACAGTGGTTCTCAGCTGGTCTGGCCGTGGGACCCACCATCACTCCTTAATGACAAGTCACGGCCTAAAGAGATAGTCTTATGATTTTACTTTCACAACTTGAGCTTTGTACGTACTGCTCTGCAGTGTCTTTCCTCGTCTCAGCCCCGTGTCATGGTGCATCTCACTCAGTCAGAATGCCCATATTTGATTGGCTGAGCTGCATCACGTGATGTGATTCACTACCCCACATGCCTCTGCTGTTAAGCTTCGTTTCACGATAGTCACGTGCTCGCCCACTGACCAATCACAGCGCAGTCTGGACCTCGCGGCAGACACTGAGCTGCACCAACGCTGACGTCATTATAGGCCAGCGAGCAGGCTCCGATACGTCAAAGAATACGCCCAACATGTCAAACTAAAGATCTGATTGGTTGAACACTATGACGACCAACAATATCGTCCCCATTCAATTAAACTGCACATGGATGCACTTGTGAGTCTGCAGGCCTCGGGCCTCTGTTCTTACCTAGAGACACAGAGGTGAGATCTGATTGGATAAAAGCTCTACTTAAAACAAGCTGCACTGGAAGCAGAGCAACTGAGGAAGACAGTAGCTGTGCAATGAGAAAATAAGATAATGGGAACAATATGTTTATAAATTTAAGAAAAATGATTCAATTATAAAATAGATATAACTTTGTGATTCTGTTTAGACCATGGTTCTCTGCCGGAAACTGGTGGATTGCTCCCTCCAGGTGGGGACGGAGTGCCTACCTCAAGCAAAGGAGTTCAAGTATCTCGGGGTCTTGTTCACGAGTGAGATTAAGATGGAGCGGGAGATCGACAGGCGGATCGGTGCGGCTGCAGCAGTAAAGCAGGCGCTGCACCGGACCGTCTTGGTGAAGAGGGAGCTGAGCCGGAAGGCAAAGTTCTCAATTTACCACTCGGTCTACGTTCCTACCCTCACCTATGGTCACGAACTCTGGGTCGTGACCGAAAGGACAAGGTCGCGGCTACAAGCGGCCGAAATGAGCTTCCTCCATAGGGTGGCCGGGCTCAGCCTTAAAGATAGGGTAAGGAGCTCGGTCATCAGGAGGGAGCTTGGAGTAGAGCCGCTACTCCTTCGCGTCGAAAGGAGTCAGCTGAGGTGGTTCGGGCATCTAATTAGGATGCCTCCTGGACGCCTCCCACTGGAGGTTTTCCAGGCACGTCCAACTGGGAAGAGACCCCGGGGAAGACCCAGAACACGCTGGAGGGATTACATCTCCCAGCTGGCCTGGGAACACCTCGGGATCCCCCAGAATGAGCTGGAACATGTTGACGGTGAGAGGGAGGTCTGGGTCAGCCTGCTTGGCCTGCTGCCACCGCGACCCGACCCCGGATAAGCGGTGGAAAATGGATGGATGGATGGATACTGTTTAGGCCAGCAGAGAAGACCTTGCAGGCCCTGACTGCCCACCACTGGTTTTAGGAGACGTTCTTTCCTCAGTTGCGTCACGTGAAGCGACGTCTGTTACCGATGACGGTGCTGATGATCACAGCTGATCCAGCTGTCAGTCGGCTTTAACAGCTGGAGAGACTTTTGATAAGTTAGTGTCTGTTCACTTGACTGTACTTAATAACAGTAACTAATAATACCAATAAAGACACAGTAATCACCACTGTAGAGGTGTTTCTCTCTGTAGTCTGTTAACAAACTGTGTCCTGTGTTCTGTTTATAAGCACAGGATCCATTTCTACCGGCGGAATGCGATCGTCTTATTTATGAATTATTTGGGTCTGTACGTTTTGAAATTCAGATTATGACGTCATTATTAAATAACCCAGAATATGATTATTGTTAAACTTAAATGATAAAACTCATCAAACCCGACAATCAGGAATGAACAGCCTCACGTGACTGAATGAAATGAATATATATACAGTATATGTATATATAAAGGGTTTAGTTTCTCCAGCTCTCTCTGACTTTAATTGTTTCCATAATAAAAGTTATTGAGGGAAACATCAGATCATGAAAACACAAATCCTTCTAATAAATGCAGAAAGTTGTTTGTGGTCCTTTTGTTCTTCAGACTACAATGAACATTTATTTAAACCAGATGTTGAATCAGAAACCTTATCAAATATAAAGCTTGAGTTTATTCTGTGATCCGTCTTCACTCTGGTGTTAAACTCAGTCAGTCCGTCCGATCGGCTGCAGCCATTAAAACACTTCCTGGAAGTCTGTTCTCGTGCGTCCTCGCTCATGGCTCCTCAGAGACCCCTCCTCCCTCCTCGCTCCTCAGAGCAGAAATAAGAGCTTTGGGATGGCTGTCAATGTGGAGGAACAGAACAACTTCCGGTTCAAGCGAGGAGCGAGGAAATGACAAATAAGAGACTTGGGATGTACCCCGGCTCTGAAACTTCAAGCCAAAATGTCATCCCAAGATCTGAAATTCAACCTGGTCCTCACAATGATACAAAACACACACACACACACACACACACACACACACCTTTAGGTGGTCTGGAGCTCAGCCTCCTGTAAACCCCCAGCAGGTCACTCAGCAGGCTCCGCCCCCTCTCCACCTGTCCTGCAGCGGCCGAACACGTCACCTGACAAACAGGAAGTAGACGTCACACAAAACACAGAGTTTAAATAACCTGTGAGGAGACATCTTGATGTGACATCAGGTCTGAATCACAAACATTCCTCTAAATACACTGAATTGTTATTGAAGTACTGGATACGTTATCAGTCACTCCTTCTGTTTCCGGTGAGTGCGAGTGTGGAGGCGAGACGAGACGGTGGAAGTGTGAGTGGCGCTAGATTTGAATGGTTCCTGATCTTCGGGTCTTTCACTGTGTGTCTTCCTCTGTTGAGGTGGATGATCAGGTGAGTCTCTTGAACGGTTTTACTGCTTTGTGTGGTGAGTGATCGGGGCTCTGTCGAGGTGTTTTTGGGAGGAATGGCGTCCTCCGAGACGCCACCTAAGGCCGACTCAAACCCTGGAGGTGTCCTTCAGAGTGGAGCACGGTGACGGTTCCTACATGGTGTACGCCAGCTCCGGACAACCCAAGTTCTTCCAGTGTGGAGGTGTGGGACACAAACGGTTTGCCTGTCCGCACAGAAAGCAGGCCGGCTCTGCTGACACAGACACCGGAGCGCGAGCTACGCCCGTGGATGAAGAACCTGTGGGTGAACCGAAGGATGACGGACCGGTGGTCGAACCGACAGCGGACGGACCTGGGGCCGGGCCCGTGGGCCATGGCTGCGATGGTGGATTGCGGTACTGCAGGCGCGGCGGCTGGTGGTAAAGACAAAGATGAGAAGGAGCAGAGCCAAGCAGAGGAGCAACAGGCTGATGTTGCAGAGAACAGCAGCTCTCAGACTGGACAACCCCAGCCAGCAGAAAGCATGGCGGAAGCAGCCTCCGCCAGTGTGGAACCCAGTGTGTCTAACAGTCAGCTGTCAGGGGGAGAGGACATGGATTATGACTCTGAGTCAGACATGGAGTCTGTGAGTGGAACCCCTGGAACATATACAGATCTGTACTCACTGATAGAAATAAACACTTTTCTAGATCAAACATATAAAAAGAAATCTCTGAAAGTAAGCGAACACTTCAGTGACACCACTAAATTCATAAAATCAGTCAACATAGTTATGAAAGTGGTCGGTTTTAACGTTCTGGATGAGAAGAAGCGTTTCCCGCCTTAAAAATCAGGTGTTCTGTGTTCGGTTCCTCACAGCGTTTGTCTCTCTGGAGGCTCAGGTGTTCTGTGTTTGGTTCCTCACACCGTTTGTCTCTCTGGAGGCTCAGGTGTTCTGTGTTTGGTTCCTCACAGCGTTTGTCTCTCTGGAGGCTCTCCGAGTCTCATGTGTTCGGTGTTTGGTCCCTCACAGCGTTTGTCTCTCTGAGTCTCAGGTGTTCTGTGTTTGGTCCCTCACAGCGTTTGTCTCTCTGGAGGCTCAGGTGTTCTGTGTTTGGTTCCTCACAGCGTTTGTCTCTCTGGAGGCTCAGGTGTTCTGTGTTTGGTCCCTCACAGCGTTTGTCTCTCTGGAGTCTCAGGTGTTCTGTGTTTGGTCCCTCACAGCGTTTGTCTCTCTGTGGGCTCTCTGAGTCTCAGGTGTTCTGTGTTTGGTCCCTCACAGCGTTTGTCTCTCTGGAGGCTCTCTGAGTCTCATGTGTTCTATGTTTGGTCCCTCACAGCGTTTGTCTCTCTGGAGGCTCTCTGAGTCTCAGGTGTTCTGTGTTTGGTCCCTCACAGCGTTTGTCTCTCTGGAGGCTCAGGTGTTCTGTGTTTGGTTCCTCACAGCGTTTGTCTCTCTGGAGGCTCTCCGAGTCTCATGTGTTCTGTGTTTGGTCCCTCACAGCGTTTGTCTCTCTGGAGGCTCTCCGAGTCTCATGTGTTCTGTGTTTGGTCCCTCACAGCGTTTGTCTCTCTGGAGGCTCTCTGAGTCTCATGTGTTCTATGTTTGGTTCCTCACAGCGTTTGTCTCTCTGAGTCTCAGGTGTTCTGTGTTTGGTCCCTCACAGCATTTGTCTCTCTGGAGGCTCAGGTGTTCTGTGTTTGGTTCCTCACAGCGTTTGTCTCTTTGGAGGCTCCCTGAGTCTCAGGTGTTCTGTGTTTGGTTCCTCACAGCGTTTGTCTCTCTGGAGGTTCTCTGAGTCAGGTGTTCTGTGTTTGGTTCCTCACAGCGTTTGTCTCTCTGGAGGCTCCCTGAGTCTCAGGTGTTCTATGTTTGGTTCCTCACAGCTTTTGTCTCTCTGGAGGCTCTCTGAGTCTCAGGTGTTCTGGGTTCAGTTCGGGTTGAGGGTTCAGCTTTGGACTGATGACTGAAGTAAAGGCTGAGTGTTCATGTGTGAGATGTTGGTGTGTTTCTGTGGGTAGAGGAGTTGTTTTTATTTATTTATTCTGAATTGATGATGTGACCGTGATCTGTCCTGGATCAATAAAAGGAATTTAAAAATCAAAATCTCCTTCCTCTACTTCTTCCTCCTTCTTCGTCCACAAAGAGCAGATCAGAAGCATCACCTGTCTGTTTTTTATGAAGGTTACTGAACGTTACACGAGTCACTGACGTAAGACAGCTGACTCTTAACTGACGTCATTAAACACCTGTCCGGCTTGTTCGGCCCAATGTCCCCGTTAGCACAGTTAGCATGTTAGCACAGTTCGCCACCTACCTGTCGGACTGCAGCGCTGGACCCCAGCAGCAGCCGGAAGCTGCTCGTGCAGCCGGCGGACAGCCGCAGGTATCGGTGAGCCATCCTCACCGGAGAGACTGACAGACCTCTAGACACGAGTCAAGAGCAAAGTTTGTGTTCCGGAACCGCTGTGCTCCGCCATCTTTACTCTACACTGCTCCTCCTTCTCCTCCTTCTTCTTCTTCTCTTGGTTTAATGGCGGCTGACAAACAGCTTTCGGGTGTATTACCGCCACCTGGTGACGCAAAGTGAGGAGTAAAGATACAAAACAAAGAGAATACAATTATTAAACAGACCAGAGGAAACAAATACAAGAAAAGAGGAGAACAAATGTATATATCATATATATCCTATATATATCAATGATAGCCCTAACTATAAACCTGAACCAGCCCTAACTATAAACCTGAACCAGACCTAACTATAAACCTGAGCCAGACCTAACTATAAACCTGAGCCAGCCCTAACTATAAACCTGATCCAGCTTCAACTATAAACCTGAACCAGCCCTAACTATAAACCTGAACCAGCCCTAACTATAAACCTGAACCAGCCCTAACTATTTGTTAGAACTTTTGTTAGAACACGAGCTGCAGCATTCTGGATCAACTGTAGAGATTTAAGAGACTTATTAGAGCAGCCTGATAATAAAGAATCACAGTAATCTAGTCTAGAAGTAACAGATCAACTAATGTTTCTGCATCTCTTTGAGACAAGATGTGCCTGATTTTTTAAATCATGTTCCACACCAGATACATAATGTACAGTAATACACAAGCAATAACAATAGAAAACAACAATAATATCATAATTAAAATTAATTTACTGTGATATAATGAAATGTTCGTCCTGAGAGTAGCAGCCTGTATTAATATGTGATAATTTATATATAATAATAATAAATATATATATACAGTATATAAATCACACAATGGAGGTCTATGAATGAACTATGGAGGGCAGCAACACGCCGTTACTGCGTCTAGTCTGCCGCAGATTGAGCTCAACGAGAAGAAGAAGCAGAAGAAGAAGAAGCAGAAGCAGAAGAAGAAGTGTGGAGGAATGAAGCGGCTGACCGCTGACTGTTTCTCTCAGCGGCCTCAGATGTTTCAGCAGAGCGGAGCTGCCGGTGTGACTGAGCTATGAGGTAAACACGGGTAAACCGGGTTAACCCGGTTTATAACCGGAGTAGTTACCCGGTTAATAACCAGGTTATACGCCTCAGAGTAGGGCACTCTGATGCTAACAGGCTAATGCTAACGGATCAGCTGGTGGAGGATCGAAGCTGACAGCTAGTTAAGGTTAGCTCACAGTCAACTAGTTAAAGTTAGCTCACAGTTGGCTTGTTTTAGGTTGGCTTACAGTTAGCTAGTTAAGGTTAGCTCACAGTTAGCCTGTTAAGGTTAGCTCACAGTTAACTAGTTAAGGTTAGCTCACAATTAACTAGTTAAAGGTTAGCTCACAGTTAGCTAGTTAAGGTTAGCTCACAGTTAGCTCGTTTTAGGTTAGCCTGTAGCATCGGTTAGCTTGTTTTAGGGTACTTTAGGTTAGCTCACAGTTAGCTTGTTTTAGGTTAGTTAAGGTTAGCTCGCAGTTAGCTTGTTTTAGGTTAGCCTGTAGCAGTTAGTTAACGTTAGCTCACAGCTAGCTTGTTTTAGTTAAGGTTAGCTCACCGTTAGCTTATTTTAGGTTAGCCTGTAGCATCACTTAGCTTGTTTTAGGTTAGTTAAGGTTAGCTCACAGTTAGCTTGTTTTAGGTTAGCCTGTAGCATCGGTTAGCTTGTTTTAGGTTAGCCTGTAGCATCAGTTAGCTTGTTTTAGGTTAGTTTAGGTTAGCTCACATCTAGCTTGTTTTAGGTTAGTTAAGGTTAGCTCAGAGTTCGCTTGTTTTAACTTAGTTTATCCTGTAGCCTCAGTTAGCTTGTTTTAACTTAGTTTAGCCTGTAGCCTCGGTTAGCTTGCTTTAGGTTAGTTTAGC